TTGAATACCAAAATAGAAGAGAACTAAAGGGTAATACAAAATATTACAATAATAGCAGTGGCTACAACATTAATACATGTTTTATAAGTCAAAGGTACTGCAAAAGTGAACATAAATTAACCCCTATTAAGATTTTCCTCTGGAGCTAATCTTCAAATTCAGGGTCTGCAATGCCCTTATCCTTTCCAGTTGTATGACCTGCGAGTGGATTCAGAAACAATAGGGGTGAGCCTAAGGCCCAATAGGTAACCATAAAAATCTCGGGTACAATCCAAGGGAACGAATGAAAATGATAGACATAGATATCAAACTTGAACAACGGGGTCTCAACATTAAGTTGCCATTCTTATATCGTAATCATTGACCGAAGTGAAATAACATGTAAAGATGAATAATCAAGGTCTAATATTCAGGATTCCAAACTCCCCAATCATGGGATAATCAATAAACCGCGCATGCCTTTATACACCCACCGGTGAGCGTCCTCACACAGGGCATTGTCCCACCGGTGAAGCTTGCTTCACACAGGGCATAATCCATGAATATAGACAATCAAGCATCAACGAAGAGAGGAATACTATCATTATCAATAGTTGAACCATCGAATCAATTCGAATTGTTGCAATGAAATCATTCAAGGATATCGAAGGTATAAAACTGAAATAAACAACATTAGGATAGCAATGATTAACCAATCAACAACGAGCCCATGCATGAGGTGAATCAAATAGGAATATTATGAAAATGATAAGATATACAATTAGCATGGGAAACTAACTCGCAGGAATTTCAAGAAAGTAATCAATCGAACTCTCAAAGACTTGAGAGGAAACAATGAAAGGTTACCTACCGATTATGTCGGGATCCTCTCGGCCAACGAATGAATCCAAGATTCTCTGTCCTATATATACATGTATACCCACATGAGATTCTAGACACTATGTCTTTTAAAACTTTAACTTAAAACTTATATCATGGTATACTAGTAGAAAAACTAGCAACCTAGACGGAACAAACTAGACGGAATTTTTTTCCGTCTAGTTTGGGTCAAACTAGACGGAATTAATTCCGTCTAGTTTGTTCCGTCTAGGTTGAAACAAACTAGACGGAAAGTTCCGTCTAGTTTGTTAATCTAGACGGAAAGATCAACCTAGACGGACATTCCGTCTAGGTTGCCTCAACCTAGACGGAATTTTTCGTCTAGGTTAAAGGTCAACCTAGACGGAATTTCCGTCTAGGTTGCCTAGGGCAAATTAAACCCTCTTCAGCCGCCGCCCCCCCTCCCCCAAAATTCCATTCTTCATTTTCCCACTTCCCCCCCCACTTCCCCCGCCTTCCAAGCCCCCTTGCGACCCCCCGCGAGTCCCCCTCGCGGGGGCAGCTCGGCCGGGTGGGCCCCGACTACCCCGGTGCGCCGGGCCACCCATCTCGCCGCCCCTCCCGACCCCCCGTCCCGACGCCTCCTCCTTCGGCACCTCCTGACGCGCCGCGCGCGCCGCGGCCCCAGTCCCCGGCGGCGGCTCCTTGGCATTTCCCGGCCCCTCCCCACTGATTTCCGACCACCCTGTTTTTTGCCCTCTTCGTGTGCCCCCGCCCACCCTCCCCATCCGACCACCCCCCTTTCCCCCCTGCCCACTCCCCCCTTCCGACCAGGTCCCCCCTTCTTTCGACCACCCTCTTTCCCCCCTTTCTCCCCTTGCCCCTCGCAGCCCCCCTCCCCCTTCCTGTCCTCCTCCTTCCGGTGCCCTCCTTCCCTCCCTCGCCTCCTCCCCCGCCTCCCCCCCTTCCCGACCAACCCCCCTCTAACCGACCACCCCCTTCTCGCCTTCCCCCTCTTCCCCCCTCGGCAAGCCCCCCCCTTCTCCCCTTCCCCCTCCCGACCCCCCCTCCTCCGGAACCTCCCGACCCCCCCTCCTTCGGCGGTGTCCGTTGCGGAAATCAGTTTAAAAGGTATGATTTTTCTACTGAGCTTTAGAAATTTCAATTTTATTATTAATTATTGTTGAATTTGGTTAAAAACCCTAATTATGTTGAAAAATAAACGAGTTCAATTCTGAAAATCCTAACTTAATTAAATACATGTTAATTCATTTGAACAACACTAGTTATCATTATTGAGTTTTAAACACTTATAAACCCTAACTCATTTAAGTTTCATTCGTGCTATAAGTATGTGTGATTATTTAAGTTTGTGATGTGAAAATATGTGAAATAATTTTTTGTAAAAAATAGAGTGATATATAACACATTATAAATTTTTATAATGTGTTATAATCCAATTTAGGTGAATAAAAAAATAACGTTATCCCTAGACTTCCGTCCAATAATTACATCCAATTATTTGGACTTATAATATATGATATACGACTCAGATTTGGGTAGGAGACGAAGTTTTCTTCCAAAAATGAGCGTTTATTTTATATTATAGGAATAAAAAATTGGTACTGAAATTCGTAATTATTGGATCTGTCCTTCTCGGACGGGTTAGGAATATAGTAGTGCATACATCCAACTTTGTATACTTTGTATATTTTCATTCTTGAAAGTTTTGGCAGCACGTATTCGTTGTTCTCCGTGTACAATAAGCGTATGTTGTTCTGCGTTTCGGGCTATTGCTGATACGCATAATAACATCCGCACAGTGTACAGGGAGAACAGCGGGTAGGTGCTGCCGAAATTTTCAAGAAATGAAAATATACAAAGTATATGAAGTTGGATGTAAGCACTACTATATTCTTAATGGATAGAAGCCTTCCTATGACAGCCGATCAATTGGTGTAATTAGTTTCTACGTACGTTTCAAATATATTTTATGTAGAACTAAATTTATATTGTTAAATGATATATGAACGTATGTTAGATTTGTTTTGTATGTATAAGAGTCATGAATGTACTAGTAGTTGTGTGATTTGTCGTAGTTAATAATTATATATAATTTACAGATGAGGGTAATTCCTGACAAATCATGGATAGATATCCCACGGCTTCATAGATTTCGTGACACACGATACAAGGAGGGATGTGAAGCCTTCATACGTTATGCAGAAATGAATCCGAGAAAATTAGCAAGTGGTGCTATGTATTGTCCTTGTTGCATGTGTAGGAATTTGAAATTGCTGAATAGTAATGATATACGGATCCACCTAATGAAATCAGGTTTTGATGAAAAATATAAATATTGGAACTGGCATGGGGAAGGTATCACTGAAGATGAGGATCCAAATGTGCGTGTCGGTACGTCCGGTGGACAACGAATAGATGACACAGAAACAATGTTGAATGATATTTTTCCTCGACCTAGAGAATTTGAGGGTGATGATAATGTCGAGGATGATATCGGAGATAAAAGTGAAGATGATATCGATGTTGAAGCTGAAGAAGTAGGAGATGATGGAAGTGCCGAAAATATTGATGATATGCATTCCTCCGCAGAAATAGAACGAATATTGAAGCTACTAGAAGATAGTGAAAAGGACTTATATGAGGGATGTACCGAGTACTCCAGATTTTCATTTATGCTAAAACTCCTACACATTAAGACACTTAGCGGTATGTCAGATAATTATTTTGAAATGCTTCTTGATTTGCTTCGAACTGTAATACCTGGAGGAGTGAATAGCATACCCCAAACAACTTATCAAGCTGAGAAGATTGTCGCTGCTCTGGGTCTAGATTATAATAAGATTGATGCATGTCCGAATGATTGTATTTTGTACCACAAGGCCAATAAAGACCTTCAAGAATGTCCGACATGTGGAGTTTCTAGGTGGAAACAACGTACAAATTCTTCAATAAGGATTACAACGGAGACAGAGATAACACAGAAGAAAATTCCAGCCAAGGTGCTTCGACATTTTCCATTAGCTCCTAGATTGCGAAGATTGTACATGAACAAAGAAACGGCGAAAAATATGAGGTGGCACAAGGAAGATCGAGTAGATGATGGTAAATTGAGACATCCTGCTGATGCGGTAGCTTGGAAGCATGTTGATAAAATTTATCCTCGATTTGCCGAAGATTGCAGAAATGTAAGACTGGGTCTGTCAAGTGACGGATTCAATCCATTTGGGGTAATGAGCTCTGGTTGGTCTACTTGGCCAGTTGTACTAATGCCATATAATTTACCTCCATTGCTTTGTATGAAACAGCCATTTATGATACTTTCATTACTGATACCCGGTAAGCATGCACCCGGAAATGATATTGATGTTTACTTAGAGCCTCTAATTGATGAGCTGAAACAACTATGGTCTGAGGGTATTGTAACATATGATGCCCATTTAAAAGAATCGTTTAGATTACGTGCTATTCTATTATGGACGATTAATGATTTTCCAGCCTATGCTAATCTGTCTGGGTATTCCACAAAGGGAAAGTGTGCTTGTCCTGTATGTGGTCCGGAATTTGAAGCTCTTCAATTACCACATAGCCGAAAGAGTTGTTATTGGTTTAATCGAAGGTGGTTGCCCTTGAGTCATAAGTACAGAAAATTATCAGCTAAGTTTGATGGCACAGTTGAGAAAAGAATGAAGCCGCGTCAACTCACAGGTACTGAGATCGTTCAATTACTTGAGGGGTTTCCAAAAGTTGTGTTTGGGAAAAAACGCTATTCTAAATTTAGCCCGCTCAGAGTAAGAGATTATTTAAAGTCAAAAAGGCCACTGAAGCGTAAGCGAAAGGTCCGGAAAATGCAAGTTGAGGAAGAAGACCAAAAATTACCTAGAGGATGGACTAAATTTAGTATCTTCTTTCAGCTACCTTATTGGCAAAATCTTAAAATCCGCCACAACTTAGATGTCATGCATATTGAGAAAAATATATGTGATAACATAGTATCAACTCTCCTACAAGATGCAAACAAGTCGAAGGATGATCTACGGGCGCGCCAAGATCTGACTGCTTTGAATATCCGAAATGATTTGCAAGCTCAAGATGTTGGACTTAAAAAATTAAAGTTGCCTCCGTCTCGTGTTACACTGACAAAGAAGCAGATGCAACGATTTTGTGAAATTCTCAAATCAGTAAAGTCTCCGGATGGTTACTCTGCTAACATTTCAAATAATGTCCAAGTGCAAGAGCGAAAACTCTTAGGTCTGAAGACCCATGATTATCACGTTCTTCTCCATCAATTGCTTCCTGTTGCAATCCGTAACAATATGGATAAAGAAGCGTCGAAGATTATTATTGAGTATTGTGGGTTTTTCAGAAAATTATGCTCTAAAGTCATAGATGTAGATGAATTTAAAAAACTTGAAGCTGAGGTCCGAGTTACTCTATGCAATATGGAAGTAATATTCCCTCCTTCTTTTTTTACGGTTATGGTCCATCTTACCCAGCATCTTGCAAGAGAGGCTAGAATCGCCGGACCTGTTACTTATCGTTGGATGTATCCGATTGAGAGGTAAATTATATTTTTTTTTGCATTCATTACTTGTATATGCGTTTTTGAAATTACCGTGCTAATAATTAGTTATTTTGATTCTAAGATACTTGGGCTCCATGAAACATAATGTTCGCAATCGAGCTCGTCCAGAAGGCTCGATAGCTGAAGGATACGTGGCAAATGAATGCTTTATTTTTGCATCACGTTACATGCGCCAGAAGAAAACCACGGCTCAAGTACCAGATAAGGAGAGAAAGCGTGAAAAATATCCGAGATCTCTCTTAGAACAAATTCATGCATATGTGCTGGAAAACCTTGATATGTTCGCAGACTATCGAAGGTAACAAATAACACCCGAAATATAGATGAGACTATTCATTTTACATAATGTTCGCAATGCAAACTTATATATTGTTTATGTAGGCGACATTTGGAGAAGCTTAAGAATGAAACAACCGGTAGGAATGCAGCGCATAATATTCAGAAAAGACATAGGAAAGAATTTTCTGATTGGTTAAGATTTGATGTAAGTATTTAACAATTAATTTATGAACATTCATAATATAACATCCCCTAAATATTCTGAAATTTTTTGTCTTAGGTTGATAAATCACTTCTTGATGGTACTACGTTACCAGATGAAATTATTATACATGCACAACGCCCTTATTATGAAGTGAGACGTTATAATGAGCATTTGATCAATGGATATAAATTTCGAACGCTAGAGACTGATGATAGGAGGGTAACTCAGAACAGTGGGGTCATGGGCTTGTTTGCTCAAGAATGTTTTTCAAGTACAAGAGATCAGAACCCAATTCTAGCTGACATACTATATTATGGCCAATTAGAAGATATTGTTGAAGTAATTTACGGGTTTGGTAAACCAAAACAATGTACTTACACGATGTTCAAGGTTCGGTGGTGTCCTGCAAAAAAGCAAAAGGATCATTATGGATTTACACTTGTCAATCTCCATCGAGAAGTATATACGGATGAGAAATTCATTTTTGCAGAACAAGCTGATCAGTGCTTCTTCGTGAGAGATCCGAATGTCATATCTGATTGGGTGGTTTTGTACAAGGAGCCAAGATCTGTTGTTCTACCTAATAACAATGAAAAAAATATTGAAGAAAGTGAATATAATTATAGTGAACCAATTGGTTCATCTGATGATGTTTGGCAAGAATTCTCTTACGCACAGAATGTGGCGTTGGATGTAGGTATGTAATATATATGTTACACTGCATTAAAGTTTTTTAGCTAATCATAATAAGAACAATGCATTTCATAATAACTTATCTCATGAGCATGTATATTTTTTTTCTTAACTATGTTAATAATTGAAATTGCAGATGAGGAGGATGAGGAGACTCTTTGACCTCGAGGGTGATCGATCACGTAGTATCACCCCTGGTAGTGGTGCTGATGATACACTACCATCTCCGGATGCAGGTATAAAAATTAATTAATACTTTAATATATTTTATCAATTATTAATTATCTAGCTAATAGTGATTAATTTGTTGCAGATGCGGGTTATTCATCACCTGGCCCCTCTGATGCAGTACCAGAACCATCCCCTGATGCAGGTATTCAATATTATAATGCTCAATTATAATGGTTAATTAAAAACTATATTAATGATTCTCCTTTCTTATGTAGGGGATACTTGGACACCGACATATCCATCTTATACATTCCACACGGACTTGCGGCCAAAGACACAGGACTATCTTAGTTTACCTTTACCTCCAGCCTCTCATAAGTCTATGGCTGACGCAAGGAAGTACCATACACGTGCTGCGAGAAAATTAGAAGAAATGCGTGAAATGATTGAGACACGAAAGAAGGTTGCACTCGCAGCAAAGGAAAGAGAGATAGCGAATGGTAAATTGTATAAATACTTTTAATTTTCACATTTGTATATTATATGATATATTATCATGTTATTATTGTAGGTGCTAAGAAGGATCGTATCGAGAACAGACGTGGCGGAGGTAAGCCTGATTCCAAACAACCGCCAAGAGGAATGAGGGCAATAATTCGGTGGAATAGTTCTAATTTGCCCGTTGGTCCATGGTCGACCCGCTTGAATGCATATATTGGGGTTCTAGTGCGTAGAGCGACCATTATCAACCCTTATTTTCAATTTCGAGAACTACCATGGAGCGCATACGAGGCGATATGGACAGCGCTTATGGTAACTACATATTGCTATTACTTTTTATTTATTAATAATTAGTATTTGATATTAAATTATCTTTCCTAAATGTGTATGTAAATCTACAGGACTGCTTCTGCCTTGAGGACTTTGAGGGGGCTTGGAATTATGTGTTCAATGTTAAGGTTGAAGTAGTTCTCAAACAATGGAGGCATGAGATCAAACATGAAACCTATGACAGGTATGAGGAGGACTGGCAGAGGTTTTTAAACCTCGACGCCCGAGTTGACGAGGTTCATTTCACAGCTCTCCTCATGTATTGGGACAGCGATGCCTCCAAGGTTAGTTTCATGAAAATTACTTTATACTTTTAAGATATTAATTTATTGCATATTTGCTAATTTTTTTCTTTTAAAAAAGAATAAATCCACGAAGGGGTCAGAAAATAGAAGAAAGAAGCTGCATGACCACCACTTGGGCTCACACTCCTATGCCAATCTGGAGGATGTTTATTGTCAGGATACGGTAGATTTCCGTCTAAAGTTTTGATGAATTTAATGATTAGTATGATTATGAGTGTGATAATATATAATATGACAGGGAAAATCATTAATGCCAATACACTTGAGGGCGAAAGCGGCGTATGGCATTTTCCGTGATAGATATAGGGGTGATGAGAAGAATCGAGATAAGATCAAGGCAAATCTCGAGTTGGTGGTGAGAGTTATACATATCTTGTGTAGTATTATTAATTCTATTTTGTTGTTAATATTATGAGGAAATGAGAACACAAATAACATTGTCTTTACCATGAATTAATTATATATTTGTGCTTTAGGAGGGATTTGAGGCTGCATCCAAGGAGGCTGCAACTGTGTATATGTCGCAGCAGGAGGAACAATCTGAGCCGGACCCTCACATGCTTTCTGCAGAGGACAACATTACTCTCACACAGCATTTGATGGGTCATAATAGGTATGGATGTAGAAAATTTGAATCAATTTGAATACTACATTCCTATTTATATTTTTTTATCATTATTGAATTCGAGAGGTAAATTTAATATTTATTTCTCCCTAAACATAGGAGAGGGAGATATCCTCTGCATGGTGTTGGAGCTTCACCCGGCGTAAGCATGAGGTCATCCACAGCATCCTCCACAGCATTTACATCCATGAGAGCAGCCCCGCCTCGGTTCCAGGCTATGCCATTTGTCGCACGTATCTCTGCATATTTGCTTGACAAGATTGACTCGGAGCTACATATCCAGGTGACTAATGAGATGACAAGAGTTGCGCTGACGGCGAACTCCATGGATGATCTCCTGGGGTATGTCATGCAATATTTAAGCGGTGCGATTCCTCATGGCGCGTATGGTGGTGTTATACGGATTATAAGCTCGCTTGGCGATAATTCCGGTGCTGGTCAGAGCAGCACTCAGGTACCTTATTTTTTTCTTAAAATAATAAATTCATTTATATTTAATATGTATTAAACACCCCTTAATGATTATTCAATTGACCATTCAGAGTGGAGATATTGGAGGGAGCAGCACACGTTCTCGTAACCAGGATAGAGATACTGCCGACGACGACGACCGATGAGGTTTATGAGGTTTTTTGTGGATTTTTAATGCAATGAACAGCTTTATCTATTATAACAATACTTATATGCTTGTTGGATGTATATATTAGACGGTCTTGGTTGATGCATATTTTGAAGTAGATAGTTGGATTTGTTTATTATGCTGGAATTGATTATATTATGGCTGGATCTGTGCATTATGTTGGATTTGTATATTTTTGGGTTTGAATGGAATTGTCTAAAATCTTGATTATATTTGGATGGTTGGATGTATTCATATATACAGTATTTATTGTATGTATTCATGTATTGGTGTAATTGTACAGGGAAATACAAATTGTAATATATTTTTTTTGCTGGAAAAAGAGCAATCTAGACGGAATTCCATCTAGTATAAACCAAACTAGACGGAAATTCCGTCTAGGTTGTAATAATCAACCTAGACGGATTTCCGTCTAGGTTGGTTCAGTATAGACGGAATTCCGTCTAGGGTCAACCTAGACGGATTTCCGTCTAGGTTGACAACCTAGACGGAAAACCGTCTAGGTTGTCAACCTAGACGGTTTTCCGTCTAGGTTGTTAACCTAGACGGATTTCCGTCTAGGTTAACAACCTAGACGGATTTCCGTCTAGGTTAACAACCTAGACGGAAATGTAACTTCCGTCTAGGTTGGTTTCCGTCTAGATTGATCAATTTAGACGGAAATCCGTCTAGTTTGATCCAAACTAGACGGAAACAGAATAAACCAATCTACCTAGACGGATTTCCGTCTAGATGATCCAACCTAGACGGATTGTAGACCAACCTAGAAGGAAATTTTCGTCTAGGTTGGTCGTTTTTCTACTAGTGAAGCTACACCCTAGATGATTGCATCTAATATCTCTAATATGCACAGCAACCTAAGTAGTGTACATGCAGCAGATTTAGGTGAATAGATGGTACAGCAATTGATGTTCAAAATGCATGAAACTAGTCTCAAATGACTCCATTATGAGTCTATTTTCAGAATATAAAACTTTTACTTCAATGCATGGTGTATAGTAAGAGTCATGCTCTCAGAAAACTACACATATCAAAATTGTAGCAGAAAAACAGAGATCATCATTTGGGAAGAATAATTTATTTTGGGTACTTAACTATATCCCAAAGAGCTCATACTTTGTATGTAAGTAATATTATGGATTAGCTTCCATGTCCCATGAGTTTCATCAATTTTTCATTTTTAAAATGCATGTTACATGCAAAACCACACAGGGGGGTAGACTAGAATTTCCAGCACATACGCTAGCTATTAGAACTAGGTTTAGGCCTACCAAACGTTATTCAAATTAATTCAAACTCCTATCAACATAAATACAATTGAGTCTAATTTTAGAAATAGAAAGAATTTCATGCATGCATGGTATATGTTGAGATATATGCTCTTTACAAAGGACATGACTCAAGCAGACAGTTTCAGACACATGCACTGAGTTAAACCATACTTTTAAACTAGTAAATGATCTTAGAATTAAACAAACAAGATCTCAAATGAAAACCATGAATATGTAGTTTCCAGAATAGAAAGAATTTCATGCATGCATGGTATATGTTGAGATATATACTCTTTACAAATGACATAACTCAGGCAGACAGTTTCAGACACATGCACTGAGTTAAACCATACTTTCAAATAAGTGAATGATCTCAGAATTAAACAAACAGGACTCAAATGAAAGCCACGGAAGTCTAGTTTTTATAACAAAAAGAATTTCTTCGTTTGGATATATACAAAGAAAGTTATGATCTGTTTAGTGGTAGTGTATCTTGCTGGAAGTTTCTGCACAAAATTTCTGTTTCAAGATAAATTGACATGCATGCCCTAAAATGTTACATGCAAGACTAAGAAATTTCTGTTTCAAGATAAATTGACATGCATGCCCTAAAATGTTACATGCAAGAC